TACATCAGTTGTGAAGTTGAAAAAACTCAAACAATCAGGAATAAAGATAGCGCCATTTCACAAATGGACCCGAAGATCTGGAGCAAAGTGGTTGGGCCTGAAGTTGATCCAGGGAAATGATGGCCTAAAAAAGGTCAAAATGAGGCTTGCTACGTGATGATGGAGAGAAGAATGAGCACCTTATTGACCTCACTGGAACTGCATCAGAGAACTCCTTGTCACTCATAGTCTCATAGGAACACATCATCCCACCTTTTTTTCTTTGCAGCAATTCTTTCGAATCATGAAATCTCCTTCGAAATTGATAAATTCATGATAGGAAAAGCTATCAAAATTTGGACAGACGGAACACTATTCAAAGGAATTGGTTGTCAGCTTTAACAATCCATTGAAAAGTATTGTGAGCTCTTCAAGGCCTAAGTTCACTTTTTACCTTGGAAATTCAAAGCCATCATACTCACTTTGTGCATATGTTATAAAAGTAACTGCTGTACATAATGATTGCTCAAATTTGAGTACTCATTTCTTGTTATTTTAGTCGTGTTCTTATTACATATTGTAGTTGATTGTGTTCCAGTTGCATTCTTTGTTTGTTTTTGACAAACCTTTTCATGTATGGTTTTCTCACTTGTGGATGTTCTCATGAAAGTCCGTCATAATTACATGAATTCCACGTCAGTTTTAAATCAGTTTTTGACTTCTCGTTGTAATAATTTTGAATAAACTTTTTCTTCAAATTGAGTCACTTCAGCACATGGTGATATACTTCGTATCATTTGATTTCTGCTCTATACTTCTGTCTTGTTGCACCATTAATGGTAGCTCTTTTGTGCATTGCTTGTCTCTTCATTGGCTCATTGCACTGGAGGGGCATGAGCATGATGATTTTATCATGTTAGTTTTTCTGTAATGTATGAATCACAGCTTCACTCTGCAAAATGAAGAATGCATTTTAAACGTTAGAATATATGTGCAATGCATGCATTTTTAATGTATGGTAATTGAGGAAATTAGTTTGAAAAAGGCATGAAAGAAATATGAATTTCCTTCCTTTTTTTAGTGAGTACGGTATTATCCACATTTTTAATTTAAAGCTCCAAAGAAGATTACTGTATTGATTTTTGCGAATGTTCATAATAGTTTGATAATTCAACTATCACCATTATTGCTTGGGACCGACCAAATTGGTGCTGGCAGAAAGAGTCTCCAGTTGATGGTTTGGTCCTGTACTGATGTACACTTATGTTTCAGCAACACAACATCTGCACAAATAAATTCAGGATTATTGCATTTAATTTATTTTATTATGCACTGACAAAACTTATCCATTATCTAGTTCCCAGCACGATGTGAGTCAATTCCAGTGAGAATTGTTGACACATATAAGGATTGCTTCACTGACTTGTATGACACCTCTTCTGGAAGAAGATTCATCTTGAATAAAACATGACTAAATTACCGGCAAATGCACTATGGTTTGTTAGTTTAACTGACCTTTTCCTCAAATTGGTTGACTGGGTTGCAGCAGGCATGATGAGTCTCTATTTGTTTCTGCTTACATTTGTGTGCACAGGAAATGTAATTGATACAATGTCTGCATAACATTTTGGGAAGTGCTTATTCTTCTGAAGTGCAATTGCTTGGTTTTTGCTTTGCTAAACTGGTGAACTTTCTAGTTTCCAGAACTGCATGCCATGGTAAGAGTCTGAGAGAGCAGTGTTCCCCAAACCTTGGTCAACACACTGGCGCTGGTCTGCAGAGGTGTTTTGCTGGTCTGCAGCAAATTTTCTGCTGCGTGATAAATTAATAGAAGTGGCAGTAAACTCATGTTTTTATCTGAAATTTTGGATGGACTATAGCAATGGAAATTATCTGATGAAAATGTGTAAGTTTGCTTTCCACAAACAAAGCTACAGACAAATTTTCACCTGCTGAAATAATTCATTCCAAATTTTTCATTCTGAAAAACCTTTCTTCAAGCCCACCTTTATTAAAAAAAAAGACATTTCACTTCATAGCTGCTTTATTGGTTCTCAATTTATGCAAATAAGAGAAAATTTTTAAATGCCTGCCATTGCAAGAAAAATATTTTTGAGTCCACAAAAAATCTCTTGAAATTTTTTTGGTCCACAGAACTTTGTTTGTAAATTTTCAGGTCCACTAAACATTTTATGAAAATAATGGCCAGTCCGCAGACCCAAAAAGGTTGGGGGACACTGTATTAGAGTATTATTTTTAGGCAGATTCAGATTACTTCATCGCTTAAACTTTGTATCAAAACAATTTTTGCAATGGTTGGACAAAGAAAGTAAAACATAGGTAGTCAAAGCAGCCCAAAATGCCATAACCAAAACCTTTGCAGTCAGATAGTAGTGGGAGCATAATGGTTCCTCTTCATAATAGATGAGTAATTAATTACAGTGGGGTCTTGGTTAATCAATGACCTGGCTTACAAGCTTGTATGGTTAAAAAAATAACTTTGGGTTCGGGCCTTATAGGTGCCTTGGCCAACAAACGGACTGACTTGGTTCTCAAACATTGCTTGGTTTACATGCGAACCGGTCAAAAAAAATTGTTGAGCAAAATCCTGTGCGATTTCTGCGCTCCATCACAATTTCTCTTGTAGATACGTTGGTCGAAACATTGTTTCACTCTGAAATTCTCCGTCATATACATAAGAAGGAGCTTTTAATTTCCAAATTCTAATTGTTTGAAAAAGTTCCTTGTGAGCCACAAAATTAAACTTTATAAAATATTAAGATGAACATCTGGCCCACTATTCAAAATCACAAATCCTTTTGCAGTTATATTTCAGTCGGTCATTGATACCCTACCCATCACAAACAGTCACTGAACTTTATTTTTTGCACCTGTATAAAAGGTCAAAATTTTCCATATATGCATATAATTAACTGTTGTAACATTTTGTACAAATACCAGGCTTATGAGCAAAGTTAGAGGTGCCTTTCCGCAGTTGGAACCAGACTTTATTCGGGTACGCTTGCACCTCTTTCTGCCTCCCCTCATATTACCTGTTATAGCCTCTGGCTAGTGGTGAATTCGGATGAAATTCAAAGCGTCATCTACTTCAACTCATAGAAACGGTAGAGGATTTTTTCTACAAACCAACACTAGAGTACTATATCTGATTTTGGACCAAGAATATCTTACCTATTGCTGACCCTGGAATTCACTGAATTTTCAACCTTTTTTGAAAATTCAAACTCGTTTTCATTGAAGATACAATTAGGCACAGAATGACTTGAAATGAAATAAAAACTTGATTAGAGCAAACATCACCGCATTTTGTATAAGTTTTGTACAAACAAAATTCAAGAAGTTTCTTTCAATGACATATTGTTCAAAAGTCGATTTTAAACATTTTCTGAACGTCCTAAAAACTTCATTAAAATGGGCATTTGTAGAGAACTGGAGAGCCCATCCAACAAAACCAAAATGTTTTGAAAAGAGTTGACAATTTAAGAGCATCTTGAAATAAGATGACCCTCATTAATTAGAATACAAGGCCTCTCAAGGGTTTCCTTTGCGTTTTCTATTGAACATCCAAGACTTGAAAACATTTTGAAAGAATGTAATGAATTAACAGACATTGTTCGATCAGAATAAAATTATGCATTCGAAACCGTAAGAATTTGGCCATTTGGGACGAAAAATGAAAAAGATGCACCGATGGACGTTCTGGCGGGTTAATTTCCATCAAATTTTAGTAGGGTTCATCCAGTAGAATATTCTAAGAACTCCTTGACATTGAAATAGCCATTTGTGAAACTCTTACATCAGAATATAATAACTTTCAAGAGCAACGATGTCTTCAGAATGCAATGCAGCTACATAATCAATTTTAAAGACTTCATTCCTGAGTCGCATTAAATTTGATGACCTGCACCTGTGAAGTCCTGTATACATGATATACTGTATTGTATAGTATCATCAAAACGTCCCACTTCTTATCTTCCATGAATGCAGGATCCAAGCACTGGACAAATAAACTTGTTCATAAACATCAGCGAAACTATAGTGGAACGCACAATTCAGCGGTGTCTATGGATTAATTGTCTCAAAAACTGTTGACCGCATAAAAACCTTTACAAGAGCATTCATGTGACAGTGGCTCCTGAATTCTGGGGTCAATCCCTATAGCTAGTACTTCAATCAAAAGCAAGACTGTTAGGAGGTTCAACAGCAGACTGGAACACTCAACATTGTTCTGCCAGTCCTTCATACCCAGAGTAATTTAGGATTAAAAAAAATAATAATGCAAGAAAAGGATGGATTCCAAAAATAAAACACGTCATTCAGCTGTGGGTTTCACCTGGGGATTTCCTTACCCAAGTGGGGAGCTATTTTTGCTGTGACCCCAAAGTGTGACACCAGGGTCACAACTGCTGCATACAAGTGTGCACTCCAGTAGAGGAAATTTTGCTACCATTCCAGGGCGTGAGTGGACTTCTTGCCGGAGCTCACATATGAGCTGCCGAATTTACCCTGCTCCCCCTTCCCCCTGCCTCACTCCCTGAACCCATCACTCTCTCTTTAAAGAAAAATCATGAGAGACTTCAGAAGGCCTGTTTGAATAGGTATAAACAGTATAGTAGGAGAAGTACCATCAACAAATATAATTAATATTCATTTTTATAAACCTTATGGCTTTACTGAAGGTTCTCTTTTCATTACTCTGATTATTCCATTTCATAAATACTGTACTGTACCAATACTGATATTTTAAAAAAGTCATCACTGGAAAACAGGGAAACAATCAAGGAAGCAATATTAGTAATTATGAACTCAAATTATGCATGGTTGTGAACTCAATATAAATCATGAATATTTCACATCAAACAAATGATATTTGGAAAACTTCATAAGGTATGCATTTATATCATACAAATTTCAAGTTTGAATTGTTAGAAACAATTTTGATGTCCATATAGGAAGGACAGCATTTAGAATGAATAAGAATAAATACAATATAAGAACCCTTTAATANAATTGCCGATATCAGACTCGCATTGCGATCAACGCGAGCATCACGTAGACTAGGGCCTCGTGGTCCAAAATCGCAGATATGCACGAAGCCCGATTATTCAAATCATCATCATTTCGAAATTCTCTTCGTCGCAATTGGAAAAACAAATATTCTTCAACCCGTAACGAACTTTCAAAAAACAAAGTTTTTCCCTTCCCCAGCCCATCATTTCTAGACCAGGTTCAATGATGTCGTGAGACAAACACACAGCGGCTGACGTCAGTCATCACATCTAACGGAATCAATGGTAGCACATAACTGAAGATCTTCGACATGACCGTGTAGACTCTCCGAATCAACATTGAGCGGATCATTCCGTCGCAATTTAGACAAACTTTCGAAAAAAATAAGTTCCCTTCGCGCCTGAACACATCATTTCGAGTTCAGAATCAATACCGTTAGACGAACACAACATCCGACGTTCAACGAAATCAATGGCAACATACAACTGAATACTCCGTGATGACCGCGTACATCTTTCCGTCTTAGACGATTGAAGCCTTCGAAGTGAATCCCCCTCTTTCCGTCTCCTTCAGAACATGCTGCAAACCCAAAGGACTCGAATAATCATTTATCCTGAGATCGTCATCTGCATCATCATCATTCACTTACGATAACTTTCAAGTGCGACATGGGCTTCACTTTCAATGCTTCCAAGGATGAATCCATGGACGTAAGCAGACGACCATCCACAGCAACTCCCACAGAAGCGGCATGCACTTTGAAACACTCCGCCATCTAAACAAATAAGGTAACAGCATTGGAAAAATAAATGACAATGCCTGTACATCCACGTTTCCTTTCACTTCCACCCGAATTCAATCCGTTCCCAATACCCCGGTTTACGCAAACAATTATATCCTGAGTCTGGTCGCTAATACAATACCCTTCAACTGGGATGGTTTCATGCCTCAACATTTCATCAATACAGATGGACTCACTCTCACTCATAAACGAAATTCGAGGGACCTAAAAAATGCTTAGTCGAGAGCTTCTATAACACGGGTAGAGACAAGATAAATTAGTTGCACAGAGAAAATCACTGAGACTCCACCTGTATTCCGAAAAACTTCGATTACCGCATACTGCCAGAATATTCTGTCGAACGGATCTTGGGAACACTAGAACTCAGTTGACCTGAAGCTGAAGGTGCGTGGAGAGCAGTTGGACAATTCGAAGAGATTTTTCTATCCGATCCAGGTCGCATTAATTTTTTCCCCCGCGACGATTTCCTCAAGATGACACTTACACGTACCTGCAGCTTCTTCACGTTCTTCTTCATGTCATATGAACAAACTACAGTTGCCTCGATAACTAAAACCTCCCCAAGTAGAATAGTATACCTGTCCAGATTCCCTTGAAAAAATAAGCATAGATTAAAAATTACTGGGGGCTCAACTCTTAGGAAGAGCATGGACTAATGCATGCATCAGAATTATCCTTGACTAGACAGAAAACACAAGTATTGAAAATATAGAACATGAAAAATGAATACCATTATTTTAGGACAAAAGAGGACAAAATTATCCTTGACTAGATTGAAAACTTAGGTATAAAGAAGAATTTTGTAAATGCATATAATTGATTTCGGACAAAAGAGAATCTAGACACAAGAAAGTATACATTTTTGCCAGAACCTAAATTAAAAAAAAAATCAGTGAAAAAAATACTGAGTTGTTGAATTGTGTGAGTTGTTGCTATGCAAGTTGTACCATAGCCAGTCCTACCAACTATTCTCCAAATGAGCAGGCTCCCATGCACTTGACTTTTCTGAGTCCCGCCATCCTAAGGCCAGCAAACCCTAGCACTCCCCCTTCATTCTTGTCCAAACTGCAAAACACATTCTTTCTAACCGGATCTTGTGTCTGACCTATTGCAAACCGATTGATTCTCTTAGTGTAGACCTAAGTTGTCTCGTGCATACCTGAGTTGGTTTGATAGACTGGTGTACTGTACTTTTCTGTGTCAGGATCATTCTCAGTGATGAGGTTTCAGTCAGCTCTTACTGTACCATGCGTTGATCAGCTTGTTAGATCGACAGCCGTTACTTACCTTGTCAATTATTCCGATCTGTTTGCCTTTTTACTTTTCACCACACAGTAAAATTCGTCAATGGAACATGCCTTCAATACCATTCAAAATACAATTATCAGCCAAGAATCCCGTTCATGCTTTAGGATTCCCTTCTCCAATTCCCAAAAAAAAAAAGAAACTCACCAAGGATTTGACATCCGCTAGCTTCATATCAGATGAGAAGATCATGCACTTCCCGCCGCGTTCTCCTTTCCTTTCCGAGATCAGCCCAAGCGTTTCCTTCATATTCTGCACAAGGAACAACGCTCCAGAGTGATGATCAAAGCGGTCAAAAATCCCGGAAACTCACCATCATTCTTGGTTCTTTTCGTGTCAACTTAGTCAAATTGACCATGTCGTTCTCCTCAACGCAGGACAGGATTGATGCGAAAACGTCTTTCCTCACGGATACCATCTCGCAGAAGAAGGACTGCTTCTTGTACACATATTGCTTAGCTTTTTCCGCTTGCATTTCAGATTCCATACACGGTTTACACAATTCTGCAATAACAACGTCCATCATGAAATGGGAGAAGCTCAGACAAAGGTTGTTGAAGCAGGTTACAAGGTCTTGACAAGTGGATCACAAGTCAGCCTTTCAAGAGCAGTTCCATGAGAATGCATAAGAGAAGGGACCTTTGATTCAGCAATGAAGCCTCTAGAACAGGGGTGCCCAAGATACAGCCAGCGGGCCAGATCTAGCCCACAGAGCAAGCAAGGAAAATTGCCACCAAAAAATTAAAACCACCAAAAGTGAAAATCGCACGTTTTTCAAGACATCCTCAGTCAACATTTTTGATAAGGAATATAATTACGGCTTCACAAATTTTGTAATGATTGCTTTTAACAAGAAAGACCAATTTAGAACAATATGCATTGATTTGTGATGCCAGTGGTTCTGCTTTTCAGATTAAAGGGCAGGGTTGTTGTAATCTGGGAATTGAAATCCTACCCCAGCATTTTCTGAGGTGTTAATTTAATTGCATTTCTTTATGGGGGGAAAGATATACAGTAGCTTAATTTTTGACATAGCATGAACAAAAGTAGACCATCATGTAAAAATGCAAATGTGTAGGTATGTGGAGGAAGTAAGAGAGAAAAATTGGGACAGGGACAATTTGAGATGAGTGATATAGACCTTATAGAGACAGGAACAAATGGCAACATGGACATTTAGAGACAAGAAAAATGTGAGACTCTCCCAAAGCAACTCTGCCCACACAATATGTTTTTTCTTTTACACTTTTTTTCTGCCTTTCTCCAGATTATTTGTGAATCTTGGGGAATTTTCAATTGCACTAAAATTTCTGAGTTTCTTCATATTCCCATCCCCTCCCCAACTCTGTACACAAAATTTGTTTATATCACACTTCATATTCTTGCGCTTGATTCCATTTGCAGATGTTTCTGAATGACATGCATTCAAATTGAATATCTGAAATATGCTTAGCTATCTGTTCCCTTTTTTTGTGCTACGGATATACAGTAATGTGTTCTGGTGTGTTTATACATGCATTACAATGCATCACAGTGGATCAAGAGAGGAAGGAAAGCAAGAAAAAGTTTTTTATTCAAAAACCCCAAGAAACCTCTGATACAATGCTCATGTGATATTCATCCACATTGCCTTTTGACCAAGCAGTGCAATTTTTGTTCGTTTTAGCACCTTCAATATTAGAATCACAGGAGAATCATTTTGAAAATGCTTCTGTCTCAAAAGGTCTCAAATTCTCTCATCCTCAAAATGTATCTGCCTTGAATTGTTCCTGTCTATAAAAATTTGTCGGTCCCTGCCTCTGAAATTTTCTGTCTCAAATTGTCCCTGTTTCCAAAATTTATATTCTCAAATTAGCTCTGTCTCAAATTGTCTTGATTTGTCCTAGATGTAATGTAAATTCAACTAGCTCCAACAACTGAAAAAATTCCACAAAAAATCCCTCACTATTACCTAAACTTGATATTAACCTAAACATCAACTTGCTATTACCTAAATATCTAATATCAATTCAAATTTTCTTTTGCTTCTTGTTTTTGGACTTTGATTGAATGCTTTGAAAAATAATGCAGATTAATTTCTATAATTCCATAAACATAAATTTAATCATGCAGTAATACCAGTAAAAGTTACATTGAATCAGTAAGAATGCAACAAGTTTGTAGAGGAGAAACACATTCATTGAAGTCCTGGATGCCTTGAAGTTGACAATATACAAATGGAATGGTTCAACCACCCAAGAAATGTATGAATTACCAAATGTACTTGAATAACATTTCTTGTGCATTTTTTCATTGTGGCCTGCACAATGCTGGACTGTAATAATGTGGCCCTTGGGCACTTCTGAGTTGTGCACAACTGCTCTAGAAATTCGAGTTGCTGCACTGGGACGGGAAGAAGTCGACCAAATACTGTAGTCTATTTCAGAGGGAGAAAAATTATGTCCTACATTTTCTAGGCTATCTATCAGTTCCATTTTCCAGGGTATAAATATGGGCCATTTTGAGATTTTTAAACATACAAACACGAGGGCTGTATCACTTGGGACACAGTTCCCCCTTATCATCATGCAATAAGTTTAATTGAGAATTGGCTTTCAAAACTCCCAGAATCTCAGAACACCATGGAATGCATCATAATTTTTTTTCACACTCCTGTCTGCTCTCGAAATATCCAAGGTCGCGCCCAAGTGGGACAACCCACGAATGTTAGCCATTTCGATTGTAAAAAGTCAAACTAAAAAAAAAAAAACCCCGCAGAGAAGCGGATAAAAAGCTGAGCTCAAGGTTCTATCAATATGCGTATTGTACAGACAGGTTCAGGTAGGATATTTACGTGTATCTACTTCACCGCATTTATGGTAATTGAGATAATTATGTTGAGATAATATATGTCAAATCGACGAATTTACTGTACAGGAATTGCAAAACCGGCTTCCAGATCTGCGAGTTCCACAATGAAACCATGTTCCAATAGACGAGTGAAAGTTATTCCTGAGAATCCTGACAGAGAAGTTTCAGCTTGACAGAAGATATCAATTTTTTGCTTGTGGAGTTAAAATACTCGGCAGACAAAGCCACGATGCACTTCAAGACATTACAAATCGTAAAAGAAGAATTGTATCCGACATAGAAACGGAACCGAAAATTGAAGTAATTCATTTCGACAGGCTAATTACCGTACAGTTTATCGTGACGCACTGAAGTACTTCATAATAACGAAGATTGCTTTGCATATTACCTCACAATAAAATTCATCACCAAAAGAAGAACGAGGACATCATACAAACATCCAGACTTTCTCAAAGGACCAACAAACCTGGGTCCAGTTGGAAATCAAGCATTTCTTCCGGGTGATCCTTGGTTGCAGTAGCGGAGACCAACTTGAGAAATGATACTTTTTTCAATTGTTTGATGGCGGAAACCTTCACAGGAATGAAGCTGGAATTAAAAGTTTCTCAGGCATTGCACACAAACATAAATGTAATTCACTCACTCTTTGTAGCACCGCGGGTCTCTCAAGACCTTCCCATGCTCACAAAGGACGGCAGACATGTCAAGTGTAGACGGGAATTCTGCAGAAACCGGGTTTCTAAACGAAAAATGGAACAAAGAAAGGTTTCAATGCAAGTTCCAATGAGCAACACAACTCGTCTAAATTCAGAAGATTCCCAAGCCTGAAAAGCTAGCGTTCGATGCAACAAAATAAGAGGTTATTCAACGAAATCTCTTCGGTCATTTCGGTCAGGGTTTTCATCATTACATAAATGAAGTTCAGCTGCACCATAAGCAAATTTCTTGAATCCCACTGAAGCCTGAGAACATAACATTAAGCTCTATTCATACTTTTATCCATACCAAGGGTCTAAGTAAACTCATCAGAAGAAAAATTGAAACTGTACATCAGTGAGCTGACGAACAAGTATTGTTCAGAAAAATCCACTCTTCGGCGCAATGAAAAAAACAATTAGACCGGTCTGACATATTTTTCAGAAAATGTTTGCGGAAGACACCCTAACAAATTTCTGCTTTTCATTCAAAGGATGAGGAGCCCATCCGGTAGAATTTTTGGGGTACCCCCACTTTCCCCTCGGAATTCTTAATATAGACACGGCATTAATTTCAAGGGTCTCGGCCATTAATTGATTATTGAATCCACCTTTCTTCAATGACAGCAGCCACTAGTAATGAGGATGCGGCAATTGGTGTAAATGGCTGGAGGCCACCTCAGGAACTAATCCCACGCCGATTTCAAAAATTCTGAAAGAATAGATAGACAACAAAGAAAAAAGTCCGCAAGATTGGCAACTCAAATTTCGAATGAAAAGCAGATGCAGTTGTTAGGAAAAATGGTAAAATTAATAAGAAGGACATGGAGGCAAAAATTCTTTATGCGAAGCTGGACTACAGAAAAACCAAAATCTGCAAGCTTGGCGCCTAACACTCAACAAGGAGCAAAAAGTTGCCAGGGTGAGTTTTAGTAACATTTTTGGAAAAATATTTGTAACAGGCATGCATTTTTTTCACCGGGATTAACGAATGCCTTTTTCTGAACAGGAATTGATTTTCAAGTCATTCATATGCTATTTCAATTTTTATCACTATAAGTTTTGTTAGACCCCTCGTTGCTATCAAAACTGGAATCGTTGAAAAGGTTCCACTAAAAGACACGATTTTCTAGATCCTGCGCGATCTAGTCCGGGAACATCTCTCACTTGATGAAGTTAATCAGTTTGACCGCAAATTCAATCGGCACGAAAAACACCTGGTCGCCTTTCGAGGCAACCCGCGGAATAAAACGCTTCATGGGATTGATCGCCCAGGTTTGAGATTGACCCAGAACTTTTGCCAGTTCCTTCCTCTCCTCCGTCTTCCCAACAACGATCTCTTGTAGTCGAACACATTCGAAACAGGCTTCCGTCACCACCGGCATCTCCACATACGTTTCGAAGTATTTGCATAGGATCTCCCACGCCCGAGCAGTGACACTGATAAGCAAATTCTCGTCCATAACGCGATTGTTGTGAGAGCAACATGCGTCCGAGTTGTAGTAATTTTTTTCATGCTTGATGATCTTCTGGACTTGATACTGATTTCGCAATCCTTCCAAAGCTTCGACTCTAGCCAGTTTCTTCCAGGACGAGTAGTCTCGTTTGTAAATCCAAAACGCGGGCGCTGAGCTAAACGATACACAAACGAAATAACACAGATAGCGATGAAAACTTTCATGTTCATTCAACCAAATGGGGATTCAGAACATTCAACACAAGTCTTATTTGAGAATTCAGCGGGGTCAACCTCCGAAGACGCAAGCAACTGGTACTTGAAATGCTCACTGTTTTATCAGGATAAACTGTCCGGCCCTTCGTACCTACTGTACATAGCTTGGACAAAAAAGGAAAAACTTTTGCTGGCTTATAGTTGGGTCAGTATGTCATCATCAATCCCGTTCTTCATCCCAAAAACATGGATATAAAGGCGAAACAAGTTTACCAAGGGCACAAAACTTGACAATCCAAAGTGACTCCCTTCAGCTTCGACAACTCACCGATTTTCCTTCTGCGCACTCGCTTCACGTTTGAGACGCGCGTCGTCATAATACATTTGTTCGTGAAGTTTGATCAGCATTTTTGGAGTCCTTCTGCAGACTTCGCAGACATCGTTGAGGGACCAGGAATGTCCAAACTCGGCCACGTCAGCACCCTGATAATCACATTTTCGCCGATGAATAATTAACTCCAATTCCAAAACAATTGGTGAAAATAGACAGACTCAAAATTGAAACGATCCCTGGTTACTCTCAATACACAGTATGATAAACACCAAATGATTCAGAATCATTTGATCATTCGGAGGAATCCATGCTAAAAACGTATGATGACCAGAAATAGAGAATCATCCAAGTTTCAGGCCCATCTGCAGCTGATTCAATACGAACCCCATCATACGTTGCTTACCAAAATAGAACTTCGAGTTATACACGTCAATAATTTTAAATGAACGTGACTAAACTTCAACATTATCACAAATATGGAAAAACAAACTGGAATTTTGAACCAGAAGGTATTTCAGCCTTATTTTGCCTACATCTTCATAAAAAAATTGCATCACTCAAGATACACTTACAAAAGCCGGTGAGACCAGTTTCAGGAAGACCGAGATTTTTGTTGGATGCAGTTTCCCATGCTCACACTCAACATCCATCACATTGAACTTTGTCAAGAAGGAAGACCTGTTCACTTCCAAGTACTGTACAATGGAATACTTTGGTATTAAAACCCAGTCCTGATGATTTTCCTTCATCGCATTTGGCAGAATATCATTGTAAAATTGCTTGATTATTTCTACTTTCTTTTTGTCCAACTTCTCCAATTCAGCATCAATTTGCTGTTTTTCTACACACGCCTTCTGGAACTTCTTCTCATCAGACTGCACGAACGCATCAGTCCATGCAGGGAACTCCACAGGGTGACAGTCCAACTTCTGGTAATCCTCCCGCAGATAAAATAGCATTGCTGCACTTTCCGAGGTGTACACAATTGGGTTACTTTCAGATTTCCCTGGAAAAGATATATAAGAGAAAAGTGATTGTCTTTCACATCACGTAGGGCATAAGAGAAAATTGCACACCTCAATACCAAAAAAATACGTTAATTGAGGTTGATGAAAAAATTGCAACAAAGAACGTAAGCATAACATGTGGGCTTTGAGTACATCAACCAATTTCTTTCACAGCATGTGGAATGTTATTGCAAGATAAATTGTTTTTCTTTGGGACAACTAACTGCAATGTGACTGAACTGATTAATATGAGACAAAGCAGTGGAGTGTAATTTTCATTTAATCAAGATTTCAGTTCTTTTACCTTTGAAAATTCCTTGAATGCATGCAATCAATCTTTCACTTTAAGATAACAAACAAGATACACTCATGGTTGCTCACACGTCTCAAAACGGATGAAATCATCCGTTTTTGTCAGATGATCGTCAAAATTCTGCCACTTCTGAGTCTCAAGATCCCACACAGAGGATGAGAAGTGATACTCGTCAAGGAGAATCCCACGATGAAATACCACTCCAACCAGACGATATTCATTTGGGCCATTTGGGTACAGCTTACTCAGGCAAAACTTTTCTGGGAAGCTTACCGTGTCACCCACCTTTGCACTGCAACAAAATGAATCAGTGGAAGATCAACATTTTCTTTCAAGAATTTCACAGAGAAGCCCGGGGAAAATGTAACAGTGCGCTGTCGACATGCAGAACACCTCTTTCTTGCTTCATGGGACACCACATTTCCTTGCGCACTACAGTACAAACTCTTCTTTTCTTCAATTGAGCGGAAAAAGGGGAGTGCACGTCAAAGGCGAGTATACAACTTTCAACAAGTGTATAATAGGTTTCCATACCCGTTAGAATCCCTTCTAATGCAGACCTTTGAACCGATTTTACCCAAAAAACTGCTTGCGATCGACACATTAGAAAATTAACAGAATTCACGTTTAATTCAGGAATAAATTTCAAGTCTGGCGAGTCGTTGAAATAAATGCCGTTTTAGTCATCATAGAAATACTATGGTGCGCTTCTCACTCGGAGATCGGATCAAAATTGCACGCTTAAAAATCTTGGTGCAGACCTTGCTTGTAAACGAATGGTACTTGAGTAAATAAGACATAAAGAGATGAAATAGGTAATCTCGATGGGCAGGAATTTCGTCAAGCAGTCTAAAATTTTAAAATCCTGTTAGATCAAAGCCACTGCTGGGGCCAGTAAAATAACTTGGTTGTAAAAAAAAAATCGTTGCAAAGTAAGTAATTCATTCAACATTGAGCTTCTTGTGAAGGGATATAAAAATGACTTCGCTGTAGACAATAAGTCACTCAAACGAGATTCTACAGCAAGAATCATATGAGGAAGTGACAACAGCTCCACAGCTCGCTTCTCACCCCGATGCATTAACACGGCCAATTCTGAAAGTCAGATACGGTGGGATCGTTTCAAGGGTAGAGCGAACGATGCTCATCCCCTCTTTACACCGGCCGCAGGTAATCTGGGCATATTCCGTTGGGATACCATTGAACGCAGACATCACAGTTCGACAACCTGTCCTGACACTTCCATCAGGTATTGGAACAAACGGATGCACGAGCTTGATCATCACCTCCTCTGACTTAAGCCCGCACTTGATGCATCTATACAAAAAGGTAAAACTTTTCTGACATGAGCAGGGGAAACTGGTGATTACAACGCATCAGACGCTCCTAGTTTACAATCCAGGAATTCAACGAACAAGGGAAATCAAGAACCATTCGTAGGACTAGGAAATATTCAACAACTCCCGCTGCACACTCACTCAGCACGACTTCTGATCTCGCCCGAGAAGTTCTTGAAGAAGTTCTTCAACTGTGGATCCCTTTGTCCTTGAAGATCCGTTAAACAGCGATTCATGAAAAATTTAGAGAATGTGGAAGCATCCTGCAGCTCATCGTTGTCCAAGCCCAAAACCCGCGTCAGAAAACTCGGGTCCACCGCACTGGAAACATTGGTAACGTAGTTTATAGTGCGTGTAATTCAAAATGCTCGCGTTCTATTTTTTTCTACATCATGTTCTCCCTGTTCACTAGCATGCGTTCCACACAAATCCTCGAACTTACAAAAATTACGCACACATGTCAGGTTGATATGAAATAACTGTTCCGCCGCAAATTGGTCACTAAAACATGCACCTACATTCTTGTGGTTTCCTTCATCAGCCGCATGAGGATGATTACATTTCCCAATGTACTCCGCGGATAGACAGACCCATCATTAGATTCCTCAAATGCTCGCAGCTCCTCATTCTCAAGCAACGAAGGGTCCCATTTCAACAGTCGTCTTCATAAGATTCAGAAAAACCGTTCTTCGTGATCACAATTCAACATAGAAATTCAGAACTAGTTTACTTGAAAACTGGCAGCCGCAGCAAAACTTGAGCCACAGCATTCACGTAACAGGTTGCTCCAAGATTCCACAGCCCAACTGCTTCGCTTGGTATACGAACACTGAATTCCGGAGAATCCACGGACTGCATATCTTTAAGCCAATCCTTCTCCCCCAGTTCATTGAAGCACAGCACGCTCTCACAATTACTCCTGAGTTCAACAATACATTAGTAGTGAAATTTAAGGAAATTTCATGGGCATGCTTACCTGCACTCGCCAGGAAGGCAAACAATCAACGGAATGTCGTCCGCATCAGGTGATGATGCCCGTTTTGTCATTGTGTACTAACCTCCTCTGAAAATTCTAAAAATCTGTCACCATCAATAATCATAATCTAATACCCTTCACCACACATACAAGAGGCAAATCATTTCCACTTCGAGGGGAAATTCCGTTTCATTTCGATTTCAGCAGCGATGAACATCCCCCAAGTCGGACTGTACAATTTCTTCGAAAAAAAAAAAAAAAATGCCGATATCAGACTCGCATTGCGATCAACGCGAGCATCACGTAGACTAGGGCCTCGTGGTCCAAAATCGCAGATATGCACGAAGCCCGATTATTCAAATCATCATCATTTCGAAATTCTCTTCGTCTGTCCATATAGGAAGGGCAGCATTGAGAATGAATAAGAATAAATACAATATAAGAACCCTTTAATAGCAAATTTAATTCAGACAATTTCTCATTGCATGTACTCAACTTTTATAATCAGAGTAATGAAAAGAGAACCTTCAGTAAAGCCATAAGGTTTATAAAAATGAATATTAATTATATTTGTTGATAGTACTTCTCCTACTACACTGTTTATACCTATTCAAACAGGCCTTCTGAAGTCTCTCATGATTTTTCTTCAAAGAGAGAGTGATGGGTTCAGGGAGTGAGGCAGGGGGTAGGGGGAGCAGCGTAAATTCGGCAGCTCATATGTGAGCTCCAGCGAGAAGTCCACTCACACCATCACCTAACCTACTCCCACTAATTTCCAGAGAAGTAAGCAGTCAAGGTCTTGCGTGGAGGCGAGTGGAGCAGTTCGTGACCTCATGGGGAATGTGCTGCGCATGTTCTCAAAATCCGTCATGTCATGCGACAAAAAAACATATCTCGAGAAAAATAACGGAGAAATTCGGTTTCATTTCGATTTCAGCAGCAAGGAAAACCCCTCCCCCACCGCACAACACGAACTGTAAGAATTTCTCCGATTAAAAATAATTGCCGATATCAGACTCGCATTGCGATCAACGCGAGCATCACGTAGACTAGGGCCTCGTGGTCCAAAATCGCAGATATGCACGAAGCCCGATTATTCAAATCATCATCATTTCGAAATTCTCTTCGTCGCAATTGGAAAAACAAATATTCTTCGACCCGTAACGAACTTTAAAAAAACGAAGTTTTTCCCTTCCCCAGTCCATCATTTCTAGACCAGGTTCAAGGATGTCGTGAGACAAACACACAGCGGCTGACGTCAGTCATCACATCTAACGGAATCAATGGTAGCACATAACTGAAGATCTTCGACATGACCGTGTAGACTCTCCGAATCAACATTGAGCGGATCATTCCGTCGCAATTCAGACAAACTTTCGAAAAAAATAAGTTCCCTTCGCGCCTGAACACATCATTTCGAGTTCAGAATCAATACCGTTAGACGAACACAACATCCGACGTTCAACGAAATCAATGGCAAAATACAACTGAATACTCCGTGATAACCGCGTACATCTTTCCGTCTTAGACGATTGAAGCCTTCGAAGTGAATCCCCCTCTTTCCGTCTCCTTCAGAACATGCTGCAAACCCAAAGGACTCGAATAATCATTTATCCTGAGATCGTCATCTGCATCATCATCATTCACTTACGATAACTTTCAAGTGCGACATGGGCTTCACTTTCAATGCTTCCAAGGATGAATCCATGGACGTAAGCAGACGACCATCCACAGCAACTCCCACAGAAGCGGCATGCACTTTGAAACACTCCGCCATGATTTGTTTATTCCATTGTCGTAACCTTTTTATTTACTGTTACGGACATGTAGGTGCAAAGGAAAGTGAAGGTGGGCTTAAGTTAGGCAAGGGTTATGGGGCCAAATGCGTTTGTTAATATAGGACTTTCTGGTCGCTAGTACAATGCCCTTCAACTGGGATGGTTTCATGCCTCAACATTTCATCAATACAGATGGACTCACTCTCACTCATAAACGAAATTCGAGGGACCTAAAAAATGCTTAGTCGAGAGCTACATGGGTATAGAACCCTTTCGAACCAAGATAAATTAGTTGCACAGAGAAAATCGCTGTTGAGAGTCCACCTGTATTCCCAAAAGCTTGAATTACCGCATGCTGCCAGACTATTCTGTAACAAAAGTCTTGGGAACACTAGATTGACTAGAACGCAGTTCACCTAAATCTGAAGGTGCGTGGAGAGCAATTGGACGAATCGAAGGGATATTTCTTCCGAATACAGGTGGCATTTGTCACGCACCTGCAGCTTCTCTAAGTCCTCATCAAAGTAACGTCGACGAACAGTTGAACCTACGTAACTCAAACCTATTCAAGTCAAATACCTCCTCAAGTCGAATTTTTTTTCAATTCTCTAGGAAACTTGGCATCAAAAACTCGAACACAATTCAAAGGCTTTTCTTCTCAAACCTGTATAACTTGCATTTCTTCAGACCTTTCAGCTATCATTTCATTGACAGAGGAAAGAGAAAAGTTATTACAAAATGCTACTTGATGTGTTTTGGAAAGAAGTGAGGTATAAATCCGGCAAATGAACCCTGGCATCCAAGTATGAGAACTCATCCCGATAGGCTATCTACGATCATCACCAATACTAATTTCCCGCAATTCTTCTTTTTTTAACCGAACAAAAATGCTTGTTTCCCACACTTCAAACCTTCTCAACTTGAATTTGTCGCTCGTCCTTGAACTACGCCTTGGAAGCGGTTCCGACTGTACAATGAGATATAATGCCGGAACGAAAACCGAAAATTGAATTAATACAGAACATACAAAATGAAAAACTTCGAGACTGTCGGAAAGAACGCGTCACACGATGTGCATGCTCTGCGACTGCTCCATTTCGGATATCATCACTGAACGGCACGACAGAAAACGGTCAAAAACTTTTCATTACGGTGTGCAAGGCATTGACTTGAAGATCACCTCCTTAGCTTTCTCTCATTTTCTTTTCACGACACAGAACAATTCATCAATGGAACATACCTTCAAGACCATTCAAAATACAATTATTAGCCAAGAATCCTGCTCATGCTTTAGGATTCCCTTCTCCAATTCCCAAAAAAAAGAAACTAACCAAGGATTTGACATCCGCTAGCTTCATATCAGATGAGAAGATCATGCGCTTCCCGCCGCGTTTTCCTTTCCTTTCCGAGATCAGCCCAAGCGTTTCCTTCATATTCTGCACAAGGAACAACGCTCCAGAGTGATGATCAAAGTGATCAAAAATCCCGGAAACTCACAATCATTCTTGGTTCTTTTCGAGTCAACTTAGTCACATTGACCACGTCGTTCTCCTCAACGCAGGACAGGATCGATGCGAAAACGTCTTTCATCACTGATACCATCTTGCAGAAAAAGGGCTGCTTCTTATACACATATTGCTTAGCTTCTTCCGCTTGCATTTCGGATACCAAACACGGGTCACACAATTCTGCAAGAACAAGGTCCATCATGAAATTGGAGAAGCACAAACACGAGTCGTCGTAACGAGTTACAAGGTTTCCACGAGTGGATCACGAGTCAACCCTTCAAGGGCAGTTCCATGAGCATGCAATAGAGAAGGGACCTTGGATTCAACAATGCAGCCTCTAGAAATTCGAATTGCTGCACTGGGACGGGAAGAAGTCGGCCAAATAGCTTCAGAGGGAGAAACATTATGTCCTAAATTTTCTAGGCTATCCATCAGTTCGATTTCGAGGGTAAAAATATGAGCCATTTTGAGATTTTAAAACATTCAAACACAAAGGCGGAATCACTTGGGATGAAGTTTCCTCTTATCATCCTGCAATACGTTAAAAGGAGAATTTGTTATCAAAAATCTGAAAAAAATCCCAGAATCTTAGAACACCATGAGCTACATCATAATCTTTTTTTTTCACGCTCGTGTCTACTGTGGAAATATCCAAAGTCGCACCCAAGTGGGACAATCCACGAATGTTCGCCATTTCAATTGTAAAACTCAAGCTAAAAAAAAACCCGCAGAGAAGCGGATAAGAAACTGAGCCCATTGTTCAATATACACGTTCAAATATGATATTTTGGTGCCATATCTACTTCACCGCATTCATGGTAAATGAAATAATAATATCAACGAATTGGACAATCCTTGTCTTACAGTTGTACATCGTTTTTCAGAACTGCGAGTTCCATGATGAAACTATGTTCGCATACAAGAGTGAACTTGAAGTGAATTCTCGACAAAGAAGTTTCAGCTTAGTAACGAACAATACCTTTTTACTCATGGAATGAAAATACTCGGCAGACAAATCCGAGATACACTAGAAGGAAATAAAAATGGTAGGAGAGGAACTGTACGCAACACAGTACAATAAATGAACAGAAAATTGCACTAATTTATTTCTAGAAGCTAATAAACGCATCTCATGCCGCGGTACTTCATCATCAGTTTCATGAGGAAGAATAATTTCTCATCACATTAACGTACTGCCCAAAGAATAATTCAGTACCCAAAGAAGAATTCATCAAGGATATCAAACAAACATCCAGACATTTTCGACAGACCAACAAACCTGGGTCCAGTTGGAAATCAAGCATTTCTTCCGGATGATCCTTGGTTGCAGCAGCGGAGACCATCTTGAGAAATGATACTTTTTTCAATTGTTTGATCGCGGAACTCTCCACAGGAATGAAACTGGAATTAAAAGTTTCTCAGGCATTGAATACAAACATACATGTAATTCACTCACTCTTCGTAGCACCGCGGGTCTCTCAAGACCTTCCCATGCTCACAAAGGACGGCAGACATGTCAAGTGTAGACGGGAATTCTGCAGAAACCGGGTTTCTAAACGAAAAATGGAACAAAGAAAGGTTTCAATGCAAGTTCCAATGAGCAACACAACTCGTCTAAATTCAGAAGATTCCCAAGCCTGAAAAGCTAGCGTTCGATGCAACAAAATAAGAGGTTATTCAACGAAATCTCTTTGGTCATTTCGGTCAGGTTTTTCATCATTACATAAATGAAGTTCAGCTGCACCATAAGCAAATTTCTTGAATCCCACTGAAGCCTTAGAACATAACATTAAGCTCTATTCATACTTTTATCCATACCAAGGGTCTAAGTAAACTCATCAGAAGAAAAATTGAAACTGTACATCAGTGAGCTGAAAAACAAGTATTGATCAGAAACACCATTCTTCGGCGAAATGAAAAACAAATTAGACCTGTCTTGACATATTTTCCAGAAAATGTTTGCAGAAGACACCCTGACAGCTATCTGCTTTTCATTCGAAAGATGAGGAGCCCATCCGGCAGAATTTTGTGTACCCCCGCTTTCCCTTTCGAATTCTTGAAATTAACTCGTCGAATTTCATTGCCAGCCGCCACTTCAGATGAGAATGCGACGGCTGTTGTTCAAATTGGAAAAATTAACAAGAAGGACAGGAAGGCAAAAATTCTGAATGAGAAGGTGGACTAAACAGAAAAAAAATGCAAGCTTGACGCATCATACTCTGAGTGCAATCTCGTCTGAGCAGGAAGTTGCCGGGGTAACTTCTAGAAAAATTTTCTGAAAAACATTTCGAACAAAACTGAATTCTTTTTTCTTGTGCTAAATTTTGTCTTCAATGAACAAATATTGTCGTTCGGTACAGTCACGTGCAAATTAAATTTCTACTAGGAGAACTTCTGTAAAAACATTCCTATAAATCCAAAACCGGGATCGGTCAACAGGGTCTTTTAGAAGACACGATTTTCTAGAACCTGAGGGATCAAGTCGAAGAACAACCACTCACATGATGAAGTTCTTCAGTTTGACCGCAAATTCCTTCGGCACGAAGAACACCTGGTCGCCTTTCGAGGCGACCCGCGGAATAAAACGCATCATGGGATTGATTGCCCAGGTTTGAGATTCACCCAGAACTTTAGCCAGTTCCTTCCTCTCCTCCGTCTTCCCAACAACGATCTCTTGTAGTCGAACACATTCGAAACAGGCTTCAGTCACCACCGGCATCTCCACATACGTTTCGAAGTATTTGCATAGGATCTCCCACGCCGGAGCAGTGACACTGACAAGGAAATTCTCGTCCAATACGCGATTGCTGTGAGAACAACATGCATCTGAGTTGTATTCTTTTTGTTCCCGCTTGACTTTCTTCAGGACTTGATACTGATTTCGCAATCCTTCCAAAGCCTCAACTTCAGCACGTTTTTTCCAGTTCGAGTAGTCTTCCTTGCATACCCAAAACGCAGGCGCTGAGCTAAACAATACAAGGACAAGAAATACAGATGGGAATGAAAACTTCAAGGTTTTTCCATCAAAATGGAACATTCAGAAGAGTTAGTCTGGTTTGAGAAAGCACAGTCAACCTGCAAAGATCCAATCAACTTGTTTTAAACCGTTCCCTAACGATTATTTGGATTGACTTCGTATTCAGGATAAACTGTCTGGCCCGTCAAAGAAACCATGCTTGGACACTTTCAGAAGACTTTTGATGACTTATTGTTTGCTCAGCAGGTCATCTTCACTTCCATCCTTGATCCCAAGAACATAGAGATGAAAAATTGAACCAACCAACGCGGAAACAAGTTTACCGAGGACCTAACTTACCGTACTTCAACTCTTCAAGTTCCACTCGCTCAATTCAGCTTTGATAACTCACCGATTCTCTTTCAGCGCACTCGCTTCACGTTTGAGAAGCGCGTCGTCAGAACGCATTCGTTTGCGAAGTTCAATCAGCATTTTTGGAGTCTTTCTGCAGACTTCGCAGACATCGCGGAGGGACCAGGAATGTCCATGCTTCACCACTTCAGCACCCTGATGATCACATTTACGCTGATGAGTAACCAACTCCAATTCCAAAACAATTGGTGAAAATTGACAGATTAAAATTAGAACAATCCCCGGTTCCTCTCCATATACAACTTGAAACACACCAAATGATTCAGAATCATTTAATCCTTTGGAGGAATCCATGCTAAACATGTCTGACGATCAGAAATAGAGGATCATCCAAATCTTAGGCCTTTCTGCAGCTGATTCAATACAAACCCCATCATACATTGCTTACTGAAATAAAACATTCGATTTCTAAACGTTAATAATTTTTAGTGAACGCTACTAAACTTAAACATCAAAAAACATTGAAAAAACTGAGATTTTGAAAGGAGAAAGGAATTTCAACCTTCTACCTCAATCTTCAAAAAGAAAAGCATCAATTGAGATACACTTACAAAAGCTGGTGAGACCAGTTTCAGGAAGACCAAGATTTTTGTTGGATGCAGTTTCCCATGCTCACACTCAACATCTGTCACTTTAAACTTGCTCAAAAAAGATGTGTCCACTTCGAAGTAGTGGGCAATGGAATACTTTGGTACTAAAACCCAGTCCAGGAGATTTGCCTTCATTGCATTTGGCAGAGTATCATTGTAAAATTTCTTGATTATTTCTCCTTTCTTTTTGTCGGACTTCTCAAATTCAGCATCAACTTGCTGTTTTTCTAAACAGGCCTTCCGGAAATTCTTCTCATCAGACTGCAGGAACACATCAGTCCATGCAGGGTACTCCACGGTGTCACAGTCCAACTTCTGATAGTCCTCCCGCAGGTAAAATAGCATTGTTGCACTTTCTGAAGTGAACACAGTTGGCTTCCTCTTGGATTTTACTGGAGAAGAAGATGAAAGGAAAGCAATTATATCTCACATCATATAAGATGTACAAGAAAACAGACTGAATATTGATACAAAGTTGATTATGATGAGACAAAACAGTGGTGTTGAATTTTAATTTAAGCCAGATTTCAATTCTTTTGCCTTTTAAAATATCTTGAATGCATGCAATAAATCTTTCTCTTAAAGATAACAAACAAGATACACTCATGTTGCTCACATGTGTTGAACCCGATGTCATCCTTGGTTTTTGTCATATGATCATCAAAATGTTGCCACTTCTGATTCTTGAGATCCCACACAGAGGATGAGAAGTGATACTCGTCAGGGACATTCCCACGATGAAATACCACTCCAACCAGACGATATTCATTTGGACCATGTGGGTACATCTCCCTCAGACAAACCTTTTCCGGGAAGCTCACCCTGTCACCCACCTTTGCACTGCAACCAAATAAATCAGTTTAAGATCATAATTTCTTCCAAAAATTTCACGGAGAAGCCTCGGGAAAAAAGTAACTGTTGGCTGTCGACTTGGAGAGCACATCTTTTCTTGCGTACAACGAACAGATCCTTTTCAAAATTCAAATGATAAAAGGAAGGTGCAAGTCATAGATATGTACATAATTCTCAAGATGTTTGACAGGTTAACGTACCGGTTATACCGAATTAAAAAGGGAAACTTCGAAACGATTACACCATAAAATTTATTCGTTAATAAAGAAATATAAAATGAATTGAATTCGAGTTCAATTTATGCATACATTTGAAGTCTGAAGAATTATTTATAGAATTGCAGTTTCGCGCGTCTTACTCGAAGGTCGATTTCATCGATATTGTAGGCCTAAAGTCTCGGTTCATGACTTACTCGAGTGCGAACGGTACTTGAATAAATACGACAATTAGGGATGAAATGGAAAATCTCAGTGGGCAGGAACTTCGTCAAGCAGTTCCAAAATTGAACGATGCTGTTTCAACAAAGTCAACAGTTGACAAATTCGTCACTAAGTAACGGATTGAACATTGAGACTATTGCGCACTCAGGGACCTAAAAACGACTTCGCTGTAGGCAATAATTCGTTGAAACGACATTCGTCATGACAAGATTCCACTATTCTATACAAATAAATTTCACACATGGAAATGACAAAAGCTCTACATCTCACTCCTCACCACGCCATATCAACACGGCCCACCACGAAAGTCAGATACGGTGGTATGGCGTCCAGACTCGAATGAAGGATGCCCATCTCCTCTTTACACTGGCCGCATGTAACCTCGACCTTTTCCGACGGAAAACCGCTGAATGCGGACATCAAAGTTCGACGATCCGTCTTGACAGTTGCATCGGGCACGGGAACCATCTGATACACAAACTCAACCGTTTTCTCCTCTGAATTATGTCCGCACTTGATGCATCTATACAAAAAGGTAGAACTTCTCTGACAAGTGCAGGGGAAACCGATGATTACAACGCATCAGACGCTCCTAGTTTACAATCCAGGAATTCAACGAACAAGGGAAATTAAGAACCATTCGTAGGACTAGGAAATACTCCCGCTGCACACTCACTCAGCATGACTTCTGGTCTTGCCCGAGAAGTTCTTGAAGAAGTTCTTCAACTGTGGATCCCTTTGTCCTTGAAGATCCGTTGAACATCGCTTGATGAATAAGTCAAAAAATTCGGAAGCATCCTGCGGATCATCGTTGTCCAAGCCCAAAACCCGCGTCAGAAAACTCGGGTCCACCGCACTGGAAACATTGGTAACGTAGTTTATAGTGCGTGTAATTCAAAATGCTCGCGTTTTATTTTTTTCTACATCATGTTCTCCCTGTTCTCTGAAATTACTAGCATGCGTTCCACACAAATCCTCGAACTTAAAAAAATAACGCACACATGTCAGGTTGATATGAAATAACTGTTCCGCCGCAAATTGGTCACTAAAACATGCACTTACATTCTTGCGGTTTCATTCATCAGCCGCATGAGGATGATGACATTTCCCAATGTACTCCGCGGATAGACCGACCCATCATTAGACTCATCAAATGCTCGCAGCTCCTCATTCTCAAGCAACGAAGGGTCCCATTTCAACAGTCGTCTTCATAAGATTCAAAAAAACCGTTCTTCGTGAACACAATTCAGCATAGAAATTAAAAACTGGATTACTTGAAAACTGGCAGCCGCAGCAAAACTTGGGTCACAGCATTCATGTAACAGGTTGCTCCAAGATTCCACAGCCCAACAACTTCGTTCGGTTTACGAGCATTGAATTCTGGAGAATCCACGGACTGGATGTTGTTCAGCCAATCCTTCTCCCCAAGCTTGTTGAAGCACATCAAGTTCTCACAATTACGCCTAAGTTCAACACTGCGTTAGTAGAGAAATTGAGAATTTCATGACCATACTCACTTGCACTTGCCATTAAGGCAAACAGTCAATGCAATGCCGTCCACAGAAGCTGATGCTGCTCGTTTGGTCATTGTGTACCAACCTCCTCTGAAATTTCTAAAAATCTGTCACAATCTACAAATTATTTCATACAAGAAAAACTTAACAACGCATATAAAGTACAATTCATTTTCACTTAGAAACAAATCCCCGAGGCAGTAAAATGCAACCAACAACAAAAGTAGCCGCATGCATTGAGGCTACGGCGAGTATCAATTTCTCCGTGACGACTGCATCGATTTCGACGCCTGAAGCATTGGCATAACAAGCGAATGCCCCGCTAGCCGCCTCTGCTTCAACATACTGCGGTTCAACAGAACGCTTAGGTAATCATTCAAAAATGAATCATCTCACAGAATTCACTCACGATTCACTGACTAGGAGACAATATTCGCAAGAACTTCCTCGGACGCGAGATGCGATTCCGGGTAGGTAACAGGAACGAGAGCGGAAAGGAGTGCCGTAATCAAATATTTGTACACCAACGATATGCGCGAGATATGCCGTCGAAATTACTCTCGCACATCAAAATTCGAAATATACCCTGCAAGCGGAGCACCATGCAAAACATCTAGAAAAGTTGCATGTCATGAAAGACCATCTTGATTCACGCATCAGCAATCCCCTAAAAATCCCATGAAGCAGTTCACAGACACACTTCGATTTTGGCGCACACAACAAGCTCCGGGGAAAACGCTAAGAACAGCGCACAGCTTGGGACGGCAGGTGCCATCACACTCTTCACAGCACATCAGGGTAACTTACATAGGTGTCGTCTCAAAACCAACCGCACTGCACTTGGGAGCAAGCTCACCCCTACTACTCTGGGTTTTGGGCCAAGATATATTCAACTGGTCTCCCCTCTCAGCTTCATAATCAAAATCCTGGGGCTTGAAGAAAATGTTTTCATTCTCTTTTCTTCATGGGCAATGCCTAGTAGCAACCAGAAAACCAATATACAGTATCCCATTTACTTTTGAGTTATGAGTATACCAGGGGCACCTTTCTTCTAGAAATTGATGCAAAAAATTAGAGTGGGTTGAATTCCTGTCACGCACACCAGCACGGATACAAGAACCACGATTTGAAAACCACTACAGCACTCTAAATCCATCTTTAGAACATCATTGTCATAACTATGTTGAAGGCTACAAGCAACGAGGCTAACAAACCGTGACATGGCCAACAATAGACATGGTAGATGTGTGAAATCAAATGCTTTCGAAGGAACTGATCGATTGTGTCTCCACGATCCACCAACCTGGCCTTGCACCCCATGCAAAAAAAAGGGTCAGGGTAAAAATCGGTTCTTTCAATGTCACTGGCCCTGAGAAAAGTCTTTGACTGGTCCACGCCCGCCTGAGACACAAAAAAATAAGAATATTCCCTTAAACAGGACACTGCCCAGGGCCACAGGACACTGCCTGAGTTGTAACTCGGTGATTCAGTAGAATCTGCTGTTGACGCTCCTCTGAACTTGGAGAACAGTTTCAAACATTTTGTCATTACAGTATACAGTGCGATTTTTTCCAGCTTTAAAGTTCCTGAGTCGGAATGACCAAGAAACACTTTGGCCGGTATAAAAATCGAAACTTGGAGGAAAGAAAAAAAATTGCTCCAAGGTGAAGGATTTTGTTCATTTTATCACTCTGAACTGGGAGATTCATTACCCCACTCGTTGAAATTTTAGAAAAAGTTTCACATTCAATGTCATCTCTGAAAGATCATTTCTCATGGAACAAAAAAAAAAGTGCTTCAAACCTATAATTTGGGCATTCTTTATTGCAAGATTTCCCACAGGAAGTGTGAATATACTCCGCTTGACTTCAGAATACATAAACAAAAACAATAGAGCCTGATAAAAAAAAATGTTCTCGCAAAATCACGGCGAGGTCGGAATTTTTTAACAACAAGTGGCATTGAAAAATTATTTTCTTCTTCTGTAAGCGAGGAAAGAGAGCAAAATTATTCATAACATTTGTTATAGTCCATAATTAAGGGACTTGACAACAGGTGCCATCGACAATAGCCCAGCAGGGAGGAAAAAGACCCAGATTTCTGTCGACGCATTGCGTGTTGACAGTGTCGTCGCCCGAGTGTTGCAGCGGGATTTTAATTGCGAATGCCTATTGCGTGTCAACGTCGTTGTTTCATCAGCAGCAACACTTTCAGGCAGTCAAATTTCTGTGTCCCCCAAAAGCCAACCACTCCTGCAGAAAGCTGCAAAATTTTTGAGGGATTTGATGAAATCAGCGGCCACCAGCCAGCCCAGGAATGAAAGGATTTTTATTCCACCCAGTCAATGGACCCCTTTTTTTTCAAAGGGTAAGCCCCTCGGTGGATAGAAATGCCAAATGTTGAACTGATCACACTGAAGGCCATCTAAACCCGCCGAACAGTGGCACCATTAAGTGTGGAATGCCAACTATACTGTTCAGAGGGGGAGGGTGAAGAAGGGTCACCAGAAAAACCCTTCGACTTTGCCAGGATTTAAGCCCCTTTGACACGGGTGGCTGAAAAAAAAGCCTTTGACTCTCCCCACCAGCAAAAGATAAAAACAAAGATGTATGTTCAGGGGACCAGGACAGTGCAGTAGACAACCGGAGACCAAGGGGAATGGAAGAAAGGGGAGAACACCATGAATGGAATGAAAGGGTGAAGGACAAATGTGATGTGCACCTTCATTTTGCCTGTTTTGTTTGAAGTTTTTTTTAACTTCCAAGAAACTCATAGATATTTAAAAAAGGGTTGAATAGTTCATTCAGGAGATTGACTCCCTTCCATCACTGTCACTATTTATTAGGTTTTAATGAACATTTCTTAGCAATCCTCAAGCTATTTTCCCACAGCAATTTTTCATCTTTTGATTTGGTTTTGATGAAAATTTTCATATCTTAGAACATTTGTTCAGTGTAAATTGTATTTTTGAAATTGTATAATGGGGTGCATGGACGTGAATGTCCCCACAAGGCGTACCGAGTCTGGAACCCTGAAAACTGGCACAGCATGAGAAAAAATCCGCAGCCTTCTTAATGGCACTGCCAGATGAATGGCGCTTTTTTTGTGGTAGGGACAAAGTCCTCCCCTGGGGAAAGGGCACAGATCATGGGTTCAAAGTATGGCAATATGCCCAGTGGCACCAATCCCATGCTTAGATTTACAAATCTGGAGCTACACAATGGATCTAGAAATTTCCAACAAACAATTCCTCTGATCTGCTGTTTAAAATTGGCAATCAGATTAAACCAATTGTCGCGTCTCAATATGCTCAGGCCCATCAAAGGGGCAATGCTTGGTAACAAAAAAAAAGGGTTCCTGACTTATGGTTGGTTCCATAGGTTATCTTCATTACTGTTCTTAATCTCAAAAACTTTGGGATGAACGCCAGAGAAATTAAGTGAAAAAAGTGGAAACAAGTTTACTTAGAACACATTACAGTACTTAACGATGTATACTGGCTAAATTTTGCTTCCATAACTCACCTATTTTCCTTCTTGGCACTAGCTTCACGTTTCCGCAGCGCGTTGTCAGAACACATTTGTTTGCAAATTTCAACTAGCATTTTTTTGTATCCTACTGCAGACTTCACAGAACCCTGATAAGAAGACTTACGCTGATGAGCAAGAAAATGGCTCCAAATTCAACACAAATCAAGAAAATAGACAGACCTAATATTGGAACAATCTCTGGCAGTTGCTCTCTATATTCAAAATAGCAATGGCCGCCTCTGGCCATTGTGTCCCACATGACATGTTTGCGACTTTGATGTGTTTTCACATTTTAAACAGTAGGCCAATCATGGGCCCTTGGCCACGTCAGGCTCACGCGCTTTTGGCAGCCATCTTCCATTACCAATGAGTAAGGGGTCTTGCTCAGCCCCAGCTGTCACTCAGTGCCTGACTTTTGAAGAGTGCAGATCTTCCTGTATATATTCTACGGTGTTTGCTACCAGGGTATTAAATTGATTGTGATCATTTACTCTACCTGAACTTTATTCATCAGAGTGTTTATCAGTACTCTCTTGAGTGTATCAATTCAAGTCAAATCTGACTGGGGGCTCAGCTGTACAGATGGCAAACCAGAAAGGAATTGGCAATGAGGAACCAGAGTTGCTAAATGGTGCATTGGGTTCTGGCCAGGTGACAGCCTCCTCCAACTCCCAAGTTGCCACAAATCCGCGGTCAAACCTAACATTATCCAAAATTTGCGCATACTGTGCTGCACACAACATCCCCAGGGCAACAAAAGAAAATCATACAGATTTAGTGAATGTGCTCCAAGCTTGCGGCATCACACCACTTCACGTGGTAATGAACACGTCACCAGATTTTGCCTCTGGTCCTACAGCAGCTGACATTGTGGCATCACTCCTGAAACATCAGGTTGACTATCCAAAACAGTCACCCAACAAGGATATTGAGGCATACTTGAGGCATCTGGCAATTGCCTTTCAACACAACGCAATGCCAAATTTCACCAAGATTGACTGCCTGATTGGGCATTTTCAACCAAACAGAGGAGTGGAAAACATGGGCTTTTCCCACAGTACATTGCAGCTCTACCCACAAACAGGCAAGACCCAAAACCACCACGGCACATTCAAATCTCACAAGATAAAATGCCAGCGTTGAAGGAGATTATTGATAACTACTCCAGGACAGGGATCATTGAAACCACGCAATCCACAATTAACTCTCCAGCCTTCTTAATGCTTAAAGACAACAATCCTAACCCGCCAGCAATCAAGAGGTGGAGAATTGGATTACTGGGAAATTAACAAAGTGTTGCTCTCCAATAATTACCCAATGCCGGTCATCCAGATATCTTGGATGCGCTTGGGCGGCAGAACGCGTAATTCTGCTGCCTAGATTTGCATTTGGGATATCATCACATCCCACTTGCGCATGACAATTGCCACAAAACAGCCTTTTCTATGCCAAGGGGCAAAATGCAATACCCGGTCCTGCCCTACAGACTAAAAACAGGGCCAGCAATTCTCCAGAGAACCATGGAAACAATTTTGTGCCTGCATTTGTACTCCAAGTGCTCAGTGCTTATAGAGGACATCATCGTTTTTGGCACTAATTTTGCACAGGTTTGCAACAACCTTGCAGAAGTACTGGAAACCTTGGTGTCCACTGGGGCATCCATAGACATTGCCAAATTGCAATTTCTGGACAAGTTGATCAAGTATCCTGGTCATATTGTTGACAAAACAGGGACCCACCCAGCAAACAAACATCTGACAGCAGTGGAAGCATTTATACATTTCAATGCTTCAGCCACAGCAATTGGCGCAATCTTAGTGCAGGTGGACAACCAGGCTCAGCTGCATGTCATGGAATATGCCAGCCGCATACTCACACCGGCCAAAACAAGATATTCTAATACCCAGCGGGAACTGCTGGCGGCAGTTCGGGCAACCACCAAAAAGTTTTGACACTAAGTGGAACACTGCCAATTTAAGATTGTGACAGACCACAAAGCGCTGCTTGGCAAATTAACGGATACATGGCGGATCAGCCTAAAGTTGAAGTTGGAATACTGCCAATACACCATGGTCCATTGACTGG